GTCTTAGTTATAAATATCATTAGATAATGTGTATTTAAACACAACAACAAGTTCATAACACTCAGGTTTCAGCTATTTTATTTTTATTTTATTGTGAGATATGTTGAGACGTGTAAATGTTATTCTTTCTCACTAGAGACATCAATATTTTTATATTACTTTGCCTTTCATTTGGTTATGCCCAATCTCTAAGTTGTCTTCATACCGGTGTTTTACTTTTTATCTTAGAAACTACAAATAAATATTCACGAGGTTTAGCCTCTTAACTATTTAAGTTTGTATATACAAAGACTTTGCCTTTTTATGGTCAAAATGGACTACCAACACTTCGTGCTTCCACCCAAAAACCTCTTTCCTCACCACCTAGTTTCCTTAGGACCTGATGGAGAGTCTTTTCCTTCAAGTCAGATGTCGTTCGATTAGTTGAAGGCAGATAAAGATCATGGTGCAACTTTGTGTTTATCATTAATACATTTAGTAGATAAAGCTTGAGTTTCTAACTTTGATATTTGTGTAGAGAGTCATACTCTATTTAACAAGCCTCTCCTAAATTATTAGTTGTTATACTCTAATAGTTTCTTGCTTGTACAAGGTGTCTACTGTTTAAGAAACTTGTTCGAAAACTTCTCACTTTCTTGAATGCATGATAACAACTTTTGATTTAAGTCTATCAAAAGATTCCATGATTTGAATGTTTCTATTCTCTCATCCGTTTGATTTAAATTTTGGACTAGACCTTCCTTGATTGTGAATAACTTTTCTTTGATTGATCTAAATAATCACATTCGTACTGAGTTTTTATCAATGTAATTTTTTGATATGTCACTATCTTGATGCTAAGTTCTAGAACTGTTTCTGCTATTTATTTTTTTAATTTTTTGATGACTTTTCCATATGAAAGTATGTGAAACTATCTAAGTCTATTTAATAAGATTAGATGTTGTAGTTCAAGACTAATTTAAATGTAGCAGCAAAAATAATATCATGATCATGAGTTACCTATAGTGATTTAACAGTGTACACATCCTTTTTATAAAAAGGTGATTTTTAGATAGATATTTGATCAACAATTAGATGTTATTATCACTAAGCATCTTTAGATCTCAAGGATTAATACTTTAGATTTGATTGTATCATAGAATTAAAAAATCAATAAATATAATTCATATGATATCACATTGAATAGATTGAGTATTTAATGTAACTTTATGACATATATAAATGACTATGAATATTCAATAAATAAGTTTTCACTTATAATATCAAAATCAATGAGTAAGTCAATTGGTGGAATGGCTTGAATCAAGTGAGGGGAATTGACACAAACTTAGTAGTCCGAAGTAGCTCAAATCAATAAGATAGTTGTGGACCAAGTAGCTTGGAATGATTCAAATCGGTGAGTTGGAATGGTCTACTATAAATTTGGTGATTGAGTTGTCGACAAAATTGGGTGGTTTAGGCCAGATGAACCTAATTTAATGAATTGGTGGGTTTTAACCCTAATGGGTAACAGGGAAGGTGGCAGCAGAGGCGGTACTTGCAAAGGGCAGAAGCTGGATGGAGGAGATGGTGGCGGCAGATAATGGTGGTGATCGACAGCGGTATTGACAACAGGGGCAAGCGGCAGCAGTGGGTGACAAGGATGACGAGAGGCCAGCTGTGGCTACGGCTAAGGTGGTGATGACGATGAGTAATCCAGCCGCAAAGAGAGGGAAGACTATAGAGGTGGGAGATGACAAGAGGCAAACCAGCAATTGAAAGAGGGAAGGCTGGAGAGGTGAAAGAAGAGGGGGAGAAAAAGTTCAAGATGAGTAGTGGGATCCACAGACCAATCCAATCTAGGATGATGAGATCAAAAGATCAAGTAAACCACACATCAAATTTAACATGCAATATCTAAAGTTTAAGGAAAATAGATTTTGTAAAAGATGAACTCTCCTGTTTTAGGCGCTTGTGATGACGACGTGAGTGGCGGATGGTTGAGTCATTGGTGAGATGCATGTCTTCCACGTCATGCATCTTCAGCTCTCCGTCTTCATTGGTTAGAAGTAATTTGGCAAGCCTACTTCCACATAGTCAGCAATAACTTCTCCGACTCTAACATTCTTCACTCCATACCATGTTTTAACTCCTACCTTCCATGTGACCTTGATGCTTGTGGAGCATAATACCCTTCGCCATGCCAATAGTATCGATGCTTCCACCTCTACTAGGCTCACCTCGTTTTCAACCTCCATGCCAAGTACACATGCTCTCCTTGCTTCTTCTTCAATGTCGTGGATTATCGATTCGAGGACCTCTACCCACATGATTGGTATCTCTCCTATTCTCTCTTCCTATCAGCTTACTCAGCCCATCCCACTATTATCATTGTCGATGGCTAGACTTATCTAGTTAAAGGTCATAGTGTGACTTTGGCTTCTCCCTCCTTTCACCTTACTCAAGTTCTCTACGTTCTCGGTTTTCCTACTAACCTTCTATTCATTAGTACTATTACCCATGCCCTCTTTTGTACAATCACATTATTTTCCTTTCACTGTAATTTTCAAGATCTACGTACTAGATGAAATATTAGTTTGGGTCATAAAAAAGATTAGGGTGTCTACGCACTCATTTTTTATGAACCCTCATTTGGCCTTCAGGCCCTTTTTGTCACCTCTACGACTATTTTTTTTCTTTTGTGGCATTGTCGTTTGAACCTTTATCTAAGTTATAAAAAATCTTATTGTGACTTTCTCTCTCTAAATTTGTGTCCAAGTCTTGTCAATTGGGCAAACATCATTGTGCTTCTTATCCTAGTTGTGATGGCATCCCCTCTTCTACTCTATTTGACTTTCTCTATTGTGATGTATGAGGACCATCTCGTACTTCCTCTATCTCGAATCATCATTATTACATCATATTTGTTGATGACTACACTCATATAAACTAGGTCTAGCTCCTCCACGACCACTTTAGGGTCGTTACTGTAATTACTTACTTTATCACCGAAGTTATCATTCAATACACTACTATGCTTAAGATTTTTTGTAAACGCTCTTGAGTTTGTTCAATCATCTCTTCACACCTTTTGCGATGATCATGACATCTTCTATCATACCATTTATCCCCACACTTCGCAGTAGAATGGTGTTGCCAAGCACAAACATCGTCAGCTCTTTGACATCACTTGTACACTTCTTTTTTAGATGAATGTCTCCTACTATCTTTGGACTAACGTCCTTCTGACTGTCACTTACTTCTAGAATTGGCTTCCCTTCACTCTTCTTGAAGGGGTCATTCTTTTTCATTGCTTAATCCTTAATTCTCTTCTTTTTTCTCTTCTCCCTCAAGTCTTTGGATGCACCTTCATCTAAGATTTTTCTCTTTCTCTTTCTAAACTCACCCTTTGTGCTCTTAAAGGGGTCTTTGTCATATACTTTTGTATGCAAAAAGGTTATTAGATCTACTTCTTCAATATGCATTATTATATGACCTTGGATGACGTCACTTTTTATGAGGAGTCTCATTTCTTCTCTTCTATTTTGACTCTTCCTCGGGCCACTATGGATACAATATCCTCCTCATCTTTTTCTACAATCTCTTTTGCACCTTTAGTCGCTACTCTACCTAATGACCTTCATCTCCCTATTGCCATCCGCAAAGATACACATGCCTGCACCCACCATCTCATCTCCTAATTTATCTCCTATGACCTTCTTTCTCCTTCTTTTCATGCCTTTGCCTTCTCTATGGCCTCAGAGTTGCTTCAACAATCGCATATTAAGGTTACACAATACTTACATGAAAGGCGGCCATAGATTTATAGGTAGCTACGTTGGTCGCTCAAGGGACTTGACATTTGGTTACGTGTTCAACCAATGCCAACATTGTGATGTACAAGTACATGTTTACTCTCAAGTATCACCTAGATAACTTAATCGCTCGTCACAAAGCTCGTCTAGTCGCTCGAGGCTTCACGCAAGTATATGTGATTGATTACACTAAGACGTTCTCTCATGTCGTCCACCTTAACTCCGTTCGTGTGCTCCTATCTCTCGTTGTCAATCAAGCATGATCTATATGATCTCACGGAGCAAGTTTTTATGGAGCAACCTTCTAGGTATGTTGTTCAAGGGGTGTCATCGAAAGTATGTCTCTTGCGACATGTCATTTATGAGCTCAAGTAGAGTCTACGTGTTTGGTTTATCAAGTTTAGTGATTTACTCGGTACCTTCGACTTCACCTTCTACACTACATACCCCACCATACACACGAAGAAAACAAAAGGTGACTTTATCATCCTTATAGTCTATGTCAACAATATTTTTGTGACTGAAAGTGATGAGGTTAACATTTTTGCTATCAAAACCTACTTACAATAACACCTCAACATTCATGACTTGAGGACTCCGTAATATTTTCTTAAGATTGAGTTTATGTATCAAAATCAGAAGCTCACCCTCACTTAGTGAAAGTATGCCCTCGACATGCTTCAGGAGATATGCCTCCTTGGGTGTAAGCCGAAGACTTTGCCCATGAAAACTCGTCCACAGTTCTAAGACATTTCATCTCCCCTATTCAAAGATGTTAATCGGTATCGACGATTGTTGGGCAAGTTGATATATCTTACTGTCACTCATCCTGCCATCATGTACACGGTTAATGTTTTGAGTCAATTCATGTAGAAGCTTCGACAAGTTCATTGGGAGGGAGCTCTATGGGTCCTCACCTACATCAAGTGAGCCCCAGGAAAAGGGCTCATCTATCGGCAACATGACCATCTCCGCATTGTAGTCTACTCTGACGCTGGATATGTAAGTACCAAAGACGACCGAAAGTTTACTACAAGTTATTGCACATACATTGGCGATAACTTAGTCACATAGCGGTCTCAAAAATAGAAGGTAGTGTCCTATTCTAGTGCGGAATCCAAGTACCTAGCCATGATTGAGACAATGCAGAAAATAGTATAGCTTTAATCACTTCTCGACGATCTCGACATTGCTTCTCTCTCTCCAATGCTCATGCATTATAACAATCAAGTTACCATCTTCATTGTTGGCAATCCCACCTTTCATGAGCTTACTAAAGATATTCAAATCGACTGTCATTACATTCGAGATAAAGTTATGTCTGAATTTATCTCTAGTTCTCATGTGACATCATTTCATCAGCTAACAGATGTCTTCACAAAGAGTCTAGCCGGCATCTCTTACAACGCCACGTGTACTAAGTTAGGCATGTTCAACTTATATACTCTAATTTGAGGGAGAGTGTTCGATAGCGATATCAAACTCTTAACCCACTAAGGCCCATTATCTATCTCTCTCATCTCTCCTCTCTCTTATATAAGAGTCGTGTATTCTATCTTGAGACTGCATAAATTCTAGGATTTTCTTCTCTCGTGTCAACAAAACCATTATATTTGAGATTTATAGTTGTAATCCAATTGTTAATAAGCATACCTATTTGCCTTACAAATTATCCAAATTTCTCTCAAACTATTTTAAAACATCATATACAATTTTAATGAATGAAGTGTTGTTTATTATGATCATGACTTTCATGGTGTCAATATGGTTCACTTTTATTATAACAACTTTCACTATAACTTTTCATATATAGTTGAGGAACTAAATCTTTAGGTGATAGTTGGTTTTAAATATGACAAAAATTGGAGTTTGAACTGGATGCAAGTTAAGTTGAAATTCCTCATTATGTATGTTTCTATGATACATTTGACACTGACTTCTATAGGCTTACTTACCTTATAAAATAATATCATCAGATTAGTGGTGCCATCATGATGAAGTTTCATCTTCATGATTGATTATTTTTATATGATGTTGATGCCACATCTCTTACCCCATGATCATAGTGGGGTGCATCACACTATGATGCACCCCTACTATGTGTGTGTGTGTGTGTGTGTGTGTGTGTGTGTGTGTGTGTGTGTGTGAGAGAGAGAGAGAGAGAGAGAGAGAGAGAGAGAGAGAGAGAGAGAGAGAAGAGAGAGATAGAGAGAGAGAGAGATCTTACTATAGAGTTTAGAGAGTAGAATTAGCATACATGCGTCATTTAACCAAAACTTGTTAAAGTAAGAGGAACAAGAAGAATTTGACACAATAGGTTTATGTGTTGCATCTAGACATGATACTATCTAATTCGTACACAAATGTATTTGACAAAGTTGATAGACAATAAATTTATTGATGTCAATAATGGCTGTGTATTCATTGAATTACATTATATTTCATCTAGTGATCTTATTCTATGTACTTGTATTCATTGAATTACATTATATTTCATCCAGTGATCTTATTCTATGTCCTCTGAAATATGTTTCTCTTCATTTCTGTCCTTACTCCTTTCTACTAAAATTTGGATGATTCTTCTATGATCAGCTGCTATTTCTTCATCTAAGGGTTCTTTCTCCTCATCATCCTCACTATATTCATTCATCAATTGTGAGTAATAAATAATTTTATTCAAATTTTCTACTACTATATTTTCAACCTTAATATTCTCATTTACTTCTAATGGCTCATCAATTTCTTCTAATAATTAGAAATAAGGATCAGGTAAAATATTCTAGCTCAATATATTCACTATCCTAACATTTTTATTTCGTGGGTTTTTTTCTAAATTTATCCAGCTAGACTCTCCTTACTGAAATCCTACTGTTGGACAGTTTCTTGAATTTTCTATAGGCTAACTAGGTGGTTGTCCCTCTTCTTTCTTATTCTCAAAAGCCTCTATAATTTGTTTTTAGTGCGACATCATTTGATTCATAATTTGTTGCATCATTTGGCTCATTTTCTACATCATTTCTATAGCATCAAGTTGGATTTGAGAGGGCTGATTTTTTTGAAATCTGTGTTCCTATTTTGGACGAAATTCAAAATTTGAATTGGAACTAAGTGCTTTTAGATTTTAAATATTATTTAGGTTTCTCCACGAAAAATTATTCTCCCAATTATGATTATAAGAATTAGAAAAATATTCCCTATTTTTACTAAAATCGTGGGGTATCTGCACTTGTTCTTGCCTAGGATGATATTGAAATTCGAAATTATCATTTTCACCATATATAGGACATGTACTATTTGAATTAAATTGAGGGTTAAGAGGCTTTCTAATATTGTCAATAAGTAAATCAAGTTTTTCTAATATTTGATTAATCTGATTAACCTCATTCTAAATTTAGAATCATCATCATGATGCAATTCATAAATTCCTCTCTTCTTATCCCTATCATATAATTCAAAAGAGGCTTGACCTCTAGAATTTTCACTTAAATTCTCATAAAAATTGTAAATCTCATTAAAGGTTTTCTCTATAAAAGCTCCTCTACACATAGAATCAACCATATTTCTCTGTTGTTCTAATAATTCATCATAAAAAGTTCTATTGAGTTGTCACTTGGGTATAGCATAATGATGACACATTCTAAGTAAATCTTTGAATTTTTCTCATGTCTCATGCAAAGTTTCTCCTGGTCCTTAAGAAAAACTCTATATGTATTTTCTCATATTTTGAGTTTTTCTTAAGAGATAAAATTTTGGAAGAAATACATGTTCTATCTTTTCAGCTAGTTAATTCTCTATCTAATGTGGATAGCCAATGACTAGCTTTGTCCCTAAGTGTATGAGGAAATAATTTCATCTTAATAATTTCCGGTGTAACTTGAGGAAGATTAACTAAATCACATATCATATGAAAAATTTCTAAGTGCTGATGAGGTTCCTCTAAAGGCAATCTATGAAAATTAGAGAGCATTTGAAAAATTTCTAGATTTATTTCAAATTTAACAATGGGTGCTAATGGGACTCTAATATTGGATGCTCTTTGAAATGAATCAGGGATATAATAATTTTTTATGGCCATAGGGTTGTTCTCAGTTTGACATGTACTTCCTTTAGGATCCATCAAAATTAATTTTTCTTTCGGATTTTTAGTTTTGAATGAAATAATGAAAGGATTTTCTAGCCTTAGATGCAAGGATCTTCTACCATACATAAAAAATTAATAAATTCGAGGAAAAAGTTTAGTAATTATTACCCTCCTTCAATATGCTCCAGTCCTTGCCCTGCTTCTCTTTGTTCCCTTTTTTTAAAAAAAAAAATCGGCAAAAAGAAAATAAAACAAGAGTTAAAATTTTTTGTGTACTCTAAGAGAAAAACAGAAAAATACTAAATATTATACAATACATCCCCAGCAACGGCACCAAAATTTGACGTGACTTAGTCGTTGTAGAGTAAATCACGCAAATTTAAAATTTATAAAATTAGAAAATATGAATTTTCAGATATTTAGAAGTATTTCTGAACAAATATATTAATTATAATTCAATAAAACTTTCTAAAATAGTAGTAATTTTCCAAGTCGATCACAAGGATGTAATATAATATATGGTAATTATTCAGAATTTTTCTCAAAGAATAATATTTTCTATAAATTTTATACTAGGAAATGAAAAGGAAACATATTTAAAATTCACGAAAAAGGGAAATAAGGGTGCTGACATCAGGATGACGTCAACGTCCGACGAATGTGAATCCGGCAGAAATAGAGTTCTGCCCAGTGATTCTTACGTAAGCGATTACAGACGATTTAATTGATTAAATTAAGATCTGTAAAAGTTGGAAGAATCGTAATGGAATGAAATATATCTTGGTAAATTTAAAATCAACAAATTATCACTAAGTGAAACGAAAATTAAGTTGAAAGTAGGAAAACAGAGTTTTAGCATCGCGGCGGCGATGCGTTGGTGATGCACCGGAATCCTGAGCATTCGGGAGGATCGTCGTGCAGTGTCTACAGCCTCGAAGGCTCTCCTTGGACAAAGACGACGTGGGCAATCTCTAGATCTCCTTGAGAAGTCTAGAGATCAATGAAATAGGTTGTTGAATCGTCTCTGACGGCTGTCACCCGGCGGAGCGGAAAAATAACGACTTTGTAGCTCTCCGGCAGCTGTCACCCGATGGAGAGGAGCTGGATGGAGGTGGGGCGCGTGTCAAGGAGCTTCATTCTCATGTCCGCGCAGCAAGAGGAGGCTCTTCATCGCATCTGGTACGCTCTTAGGAGGTGGCGACTCGTCTCTCGGCGGAGCATCCTCTTCCTGATGACGACTTGTTTGTCGATCAATCGGAGATACTTTACTTGATGGATTCGTGATCCTTTTATCGTGAATCGTTCAGCAATTTTAGTAACAATACTCTGCGAATCGCGTTGACGAGATTTTCGCCGATGATCTAACAATTTTAGTTGCTTAATCCTTTACTGGCGATCTGTAGGAAAGTTAAGATAATCAATAAAAAAATATGAGTTTTGGCTCTAGGAGGATTCAAACCCACACCGGTTGCCCGCCCTTTCTGAGGAAGGTGACGTGGGTTTAGTCCCACATCGCTTGTTCGCCAAATTTTTGGGCGAATATATAGTAATGTTACATTTTAAAGGCATGTGTCTTTCTCGCACGTATACGGCTACTCCTTGCCCCATAGCCGGCTGGCCACTGGTGACATGGAAAGGGAGTGGCACACACATGCCCCTATCGGTCATTGCCGCTCGAGCCCCTGCTCGTGGCTCCTCCCCGACTACGCTTCCAACCCGCTTGTAGGCTCGGCTGGCTGGCAGGTCGCCCCATTTTGCTATATTTTTATTTTTATTTCTTTTTCTTCATTTATCTCAAGAGTAAGACTGTAAAAATCATATAAATTCGTATAAAATCACATAATTACCCAAAAAAATCACGTTAATCAACTGAAAACCACTTTTCACACTTTAACACAAATATAGGTCTATTTATCATGAGTTAAGGCTAAAAATATATTATTTACTAATTATTAACTCATGATAATGAAGACTTATCACTCCCACTTTATGAATTACTCTCATTGAAATAAAAAAGAGGCTAAGTAAAAACGAAATATAGTAAACATTTCATGGATGTAAAATAGCATGGAAAAACCAGTAGAAACTTAAAAATGTTTTGTTCATAAATCAGCAAAAAATTACATCTTAATATTTTGAGAATCCCAAGATGATGCGTGGATTCTACATTGCATGCTCTAATACTATATGCAGATCAATATAGAGATATGATTAAACATTATGACATAAGAATCTGAGACAATTTAGAGCATTTCAGGAGCATGCTCTTATTTAGCACTCTTTGAGGCGATCCAGTTCATACTCTTGATTCCAATTCGTTATATGAGTCGAATAAATGGACAGGTCATATTTGACAAATAATAAACCAGATTGT